GCCACGGGCAGCCCCAGTGCCGGGCCACGGGCAGCCCCAGTGCTGGGCCATGGGCAGCTCCAGGGCTGGGCCACGGGCAGCCCCAGTGCCGGGCCATGGGCAGCTCCAGTGCTGGGCCACGGGCAGCCCCAGTGCCAGGCCATGGGCAGCCCCAGTGCCAGGCCATGGGCAGCTCCAATGCTGGGCCACGGGCAGCCCCAGTGCTGGGCCATGGGCAGCCCCAGTGCTGGGCCATGGGCAGCTCCAATGCTGGGCCACGGGCAGCTCCAGTGCTGGGCCACGGGCAGCCCCAGTGCCGGCCACAGGCAGCCCCAGTGCCAGCAAAGGGGCAAGGCAGGGTGCGAGCGGCCCCCGTGCCGGTCTGCGTTGCTGCCTCTCACTCGTTTTCCTTCACGGTGGCGTGCCAGGCTTTCTCAGACATCTTTGCTGGATTGTTTTCGTGTATGAACAGCATACGAATATATTTGAATTAGAGGTTCTCAGGACATCTTTCTTAGGGCCAAACACAACAGTATCTAATCAAAAGATTTGAGATAACAAGTTGTCCGCATTTTTCAAAAGATTATCTTCTCCATGCTCTATACAGTCATGAAACATGTAGAAGTTGTTTTTGGGTTTTTTTTCTGTTTAATAATGACTAAACATTGATTTCAACTTAGCCATTAATTATTCCTGGTTTGAAATTCTAATTAAAAGCAGACAGCAAAAGAGACTGCCCCCTAAAATGCATTTCCCCCTTTTTGTGGGATTTCAGAGGCTTCCCCTGTGGATGCATTATAATTTATGCATGTGTTCCTTGAGGGTTACATTTGGAACTGGAGAGTGTTGTGTGCATTATAAGGAAGCTTGCTGAAATCACAGGGCTGTGGAGATTCATCTAAAAATTCTTCTGCCCAGGTATTTGCTCTAACTTGCAGTCTAACACAAGTGCTCATTATTCATTTCTCCTTGTAAAATGCTGGCCAGGTGGGCAGCAGAGTGGACACACGGTCTTTGGGATTGATTTCCAGATTTAGCTTGGTTCAGGGGGATTCATGCTTATCCAGACAATAATAAACCAAAAAAAAAAAAAGATAACATAGATAACATACAGCTATGTTCAGTGGTAGAGCTTCAGTGATAATACTGAGAATGTAGAGTTAATCACTGATGCCCAGAACTGAAAATACAAGGGGAAATATATGTGGAGCTGCCATCGTGGAAGGCCACTGACGAGGATACCAAGGCGGGAGTATATAACAAGTCCAAGCCCAGCACTAGTGTTCAGTGCTTTGCTTGGCAATCCAGATAATGGTCTGCTGAGGCAGGGGAGTTTGCATCTGATTTCCTGGATTATTTTGCAGAGGGGAGACCTCACCCATCATCACCATCTTTTGAATGCAGCACCAGCAGTGCTGGCTCATAGGTTACTTCTGTGTGAAATGTAGGACATCCAAACCTTGAGAGGGGACAAAAAAAAGGAACATGGGCCACCCGTGCCTGCTGTCCTGCCCTTCCCACCTCGCACAGGGCTCTGTTCTGCAGCTCTCCCGGCACTGCCTTGTGCTCCCAGTGATACCCCTGCCCTTGCTGTAACCGCTCGCTGGTCTCACCAGGACGTGTCCCAGCAAAAGCTGCCCAAGGGGGCTAGGGCAGGAGAGGAGCAGGTCTCACGGCCCAGGCACCTTCGTGCTGCCAGCCTGGCTGGCTGCTCTAGGATTTCCTGGTGTTGGTGCTCCCCACCTGCCTCCCGTGCCATGGGACCCGGCTCTGCGCAGCTGGATGCTCGAGACGGTTCCGTGGGTCATTTCTGTGTCCTCCTCCATCTCACGTGCTGTTGTCACAGTGGACGTGTTATCTTCAGCGTTTTGCACCACCTTGCTTTGCTTTTATCCCCTGGCTTTTGGGGTGGAGGGTTAGGAACTGCATGTTGCCCTCTGGGTCCAAGCCCACTGCGAGCTGCTTGGCATCCGCTTTCTCTTAGCTGTGTTTTTCCTCCTTAAAGACCCCTGAGCGGTGATTACAGTTGATCACTGTGTGTCACATGGCATTTGTGAGCTTTGAGAAATATCTGAGGCTTCCTGCTATAGAGGCTGTGCGAGGGGAAGCAAGGGACCAGAGAGCTCCCCCTCAGCTGTTTAAAACAGGAGCAGGGGGGCTGTTCTCCTGTGCTCTGCACCTGGGGATGGGGTATGGCATGGACTGGTGTGTGTTTGTGCCAAACTTAACTCAGTCTTCAAAAACTCCCTTTAGAGAGTCCTGCGTGCTGCCAAACCAACAAGCTTGAGTTGGCTGGAGAACATAATGCAGGAGAGAATGAGATATTCCATCCCAAGCTAATCTTATTTCCCTGTCTATATTGTACAATGGGGACATTGAGTGCAGAATACTTTTCCATGAGGGGGTTATAGAATACGAAGACATTCAAACTTTTCACTCATTTCCCTACCTGGGAGTTTTATGGGATAGTGCATGAGTTAAAGCCCCTCGGAGGCAGCTCCAGCTTGCACTCTGGTGTTTACCCTGGATTTTGTGCAGCCTTTTACTACTGTGCTCAGTACAATAAGTCAGGTAGCCCCAGCATCGCAGGGCACCTCGGGGAGCCTGGCAGGGGGCAGTGGGGACGAGCTGTGGCCTGCATGGGAGGGGGCTGCGGGCCCGTAGCTTCCAGGAGGTGGATTCACCCAGCTTTTCCATCTGCACGGCGCTCTGCCCTTCCTCTGTGTGCGATCGGCCAGGTTCGGCCCCTGCCAGTTCTCTGAAAAGGGAGTCAAGCTCTGCAAAAGCAGCTCGCTGGGAGAATCCCAGCACAGCAGGAGGTGGGAAACTTATTTCTAGGCTTATTTGACAAAAAGCATGGAAATATTCCCCTTCCGCGTTACTGAGTGGACAAACACAGTGGCTAAAACACAGGCATTAGCAGGTGAGTCGAGGGGAGCCCTCCTGTGCTGACACCAGGGTAGACGTCGGTGCTCGGGAGAGGACCTGAGGGCCTGAAACCCAGAGCAGAGCTACGACACTGGCTGCGCTGCAAGCACCAGGCTCGGCCTCCCTACCTCAGTTTCTCCACTGCGATGTGAGTGATGCTGCTGCTCAGGCTTCAAAGCAGCGTGCGGCAGCCCGGCGGGTTTGCAAAGAGCTGTGGCTGAAAGCGCTGCCTCCCTAATGATTTTCAGGGCTGTTGTGGTCAGCCTTTCACTGGGAGCAAGGGAAAGATCCTAAGTGCTGTCTTCTTTCTTCTACCCAGACATGGTTTGATGACATAATGGTAAAAACTATCCTATCTGGTCTTCCCTAAATTATAAAGGGAGATCTTGTCTCCTGCTGAATTCTTGCCTGTAAGTGGTCATGGTCAGAATAACATTTACTGTTTTCTGTGCCTGCACAAATCATTTTTAGAGTTTAGGCTACAAAGTTCCAGGCTTAGGGTGATGCCAGGTTCACATCGCCCCATGTAACCATGAAGACTTCCTCTGAAAATTTATTATTTGCTAATCTCTCCCATAATACATGAATTACAGCCCCTAGTGGAAATTCCACATATTCCTGCATATATCATTTTAGTTTTTGAAAATCTACAGTACTGCCATAGTTTAGTATTAATATGCCACCCTTRTATTCGTTAGAGCAAGAACTGGATCCCAGCTCTCTTGCTCTCYGTCACAGCAGGGTTGTTTTAACTATTCTGAGTCAAATTTCCATTTTTATGGGGTTGGCAGCAAGTGTTTTTTKGGGGGAACTGCTACAATTTATGATTGTGCTCAGAGAAAAGTAAAGTTTGCTTTGCCCACAGGTACCCACTATTTTGTAAGYGAAGAAAATAGGAGATTGGGAGGGGAACAGGAGGAATTCTGAGCTTCAAAGGGCTCCCACAAAGATTATTCATAAGCTGCYGGGGAAGGCGCTGGCGTGGATTTTGTCAGTTGGTGCTTGCAAGGCTGCCTGAGCTGGTTGAAGACTTTTTCAATTCTCTGCCAGCTCTTCTGGTGCTCATGYGTTAGTGCTCGGAGGAGAGCTGTGCTACTGCAGCACAGTAGATGAAAAGCAGTTTATACTTAGTTTCAAATGTTGAAAAGTAGCTACTCCAAAGCCTGCTCTTGGAAATGGCCATCRCTGAAGTGCCCTCTGCTCCCTGGTTAAGCTCCATGGACCCTCAGGGAGCTGAGGAGTTGGCTCCTTCCCCCCAGGCAGATTCCCCACTCCSTGAGGCCCCGGTGGCTCCTGCAGCGCTCCCCCTGCCCTCCGGCCTCGGCAGGGCCTGGCAGCCGTGGGAAGGGGAAGCGGGGTGAGCGCTGCAGCTGCTCCATGCTGCCCCAAATTGGGAGGAGCCCCAGGAGGTGCCGGCTGGCTGCTGCCACATCCTCTTGGGACTGCGTTGCTGAAGTGAAAGGAGGCCCCTTGGGTCCTGTCACTCCCGGGTCCCTTCTCAGCGCTCCCATGCAGAGCTGCGTCGYGGCCACGTCACAGGCCCGTGTCAGAGCAGCGTAGCTCCCATCACTGCTCTTATTTTTAGAAGTGTTCAGGGGCAATAGCCTGATCTTATAACTTGTGCTRTGAAAAGCCTTTCTGCTCAGGGTATGTCTCAGCAGCTTTCCTTGCAGGGTGTATTTTATCCTACCCTTTTTTCCCCAAAGGCTTCTAAATGGTAGCGGTACTTTGAGGAAAAKCCGCTGGTGTCAGATAGCAGGGATGGGGATAGACGATCTGCCTCCTTAGAAGCCTTCTAGTCAAGATTGCTTTCCAGGGGAGCCGCAGGACAGCAACGTTACCGCTCCCGGCCTCCCTGCAGACCGCCCAGCACGAAGCAAAGCCCTCCCCTTCAGAAGAGTCCGTCAGTGGCACCAAAAACACAAAGTAAAATGTTTCCACAGAGAGCTATTCCAAAAGAAATGACTTTTTGAAGACTTTTAATTGCAAATATGTACTGGTGGCATATATTGTATTCAGAGGTTTTCTGGACTCATTCACTGAAGTTGTTGGTTAAAGACAGATCTCTGTTTTGGGAGCTGAGACTGCAGGAGAGGTCTGCCTGGAGGGGAGATCATTCATGTGCTTCACCTCATTTATTATGTTTTTATAGGGCCAGCAGAGAGAGAGAGATCATGGTGCCTCCAGGGCCAGGGGAGCTCGTATGGGACCCTACTCCAAATATTTTATTATTCCCTGAACCATTTTAGCTTGTGTTCTGAATCCTGCAGGAGAAGAGCAGGGCTGTAGTTTGAAAGCCTTTATCAAACAAAATATAGTGGCTGTCAGCCAGCTCCGGCCAGGAGCCCCACGTTGTTTCAATCACCGCGCCGGGGGGGGCTGAGCCGAGAGGCAACCTCATTTCCCCACCTTCATGGGAGCTCGGGGCACTCGTGGCCTCGCAGAAGGGCTGGGGCGGCCGGAGGGATGTGCGGCCGCCGTCCCCTCCTGGCCAGCCAAGCGCCCCGATCCTGTCGGGGGCCGTCGGCGGCCCTGGCCGCTAACTGCTAGAGCGCGTCCTCCATAGGCATTTCTGAAGGTTGCCTTTTCCAGGGGAAATTAAAAGGAAATGCTTTTGCTTCCTGCTTCCTGACAGTAGTTTATTTTACTRTAAATGTAATTTGTGTATCCGTATGGCTAAGGACTCTTAAAAGAAAGTTCCTCTTTGTGGAAAAGGAAGTAGAGGGAATGTTGAGCTATAGTTGAGGATGATGCTGAGGCTAAAGCACACTGAAATCAGAAAAAAAATGTGTACAATTAATGAGTGGTCTGCCCCTCTTGCAGCAGCTGCTCTGCTGGCTCGGATCAGCATCTTGCGCACCATGGGCTTCTGCGGTACGGTGCCTCCCTGCATTTTATGTGCACCTGCATTTTATGTGCACCTCTATATTGGTGGCATTTTCTTTGCAGTCCCTGCTTTCAGCAGTTAAGGATGCAGCCAGAGATAGCTGGAATTGCTTATAGCCCTTTCTGTCCTAAGCTGCTGAGTTTCCCATGCGACAAGGAAGAGTTTGTTAATTGTCAGTTTGCTTTAATGTAGCCTTGGAGAAACTTAATCTGTATTTGAAATATTTATCCTGCTGCTGTCTTTCCCTTACTCTTCACTGCTTTTCATTCACAAGAAACTTTTCAGGGTAAAAATAAATGTTATTTTTTTAAAATCGCCTAGACACGCCCCCCCCCCCCCGAGCCCTATCTATCTATGTGTGAAGCTTTTAGGAAGGCAGACCTGTGCGCCTAGGACGGCTGCCTGCCTCGGTGGGAGCCAGCGCTGTGGCCTATGTGCAGGCGCTGCCACGCGGAGCCGCGCGCAGCTCTCCGAGTGCTGGCAGCAGCAGTTCCCATTCTGGGGGTTGCACTGGCCACTGCCCGCCCAGGGCCTAGGCAGCACCCCTTCAGTTGCAGGCAGCTCTCTGCCTTGCAAACAGGTCACTCGTGCTCTGCTGGCCGAGGACCAGCCCAGTAATGGTGTGCGACCCTAAAGCATTGATTGGGTGGTTTGAATTGAGTGTTGTACTGGAAACCAGACAAATAACTTTTCCAGGTTGGTTTGTCTTTTTCTCCCCTAGTGCAAAGCATCCTGGCAGGCTCCCCTGCCTTCAGCGAGCGTGGGCCAGTGCAAGGGGTGCCCAGGGCGCAACGTACCCACAGCTAGGCCTCAGCTGTGGCCATTTTCCTCTTCTCTCTACTTAGAAAAAACCACCACCACCAATATATGCAGCTACATTCCGCATAGAGCTAAAGGTTCCCTCCCAGAGCAAGAACCTGCGTCTGTACTGGTAGGTTTGGTGGCATTTAGAATGTGAATTATGGATGATTGAAATGAAGTGTATTTTAGCAGCAGATAGCTGAAAAGCCTTGCAATGTACTCCTCATCCAGCGGCATTGCCTTGAGCTACTCTGAGGCCCCTTTTTTAAACTCAGGCATTAGCACAAAGCACACCTCTGACTGCAGGCATTTAAAGATCAACAAGGGCCAAAAAAGCTTTTAAGATCCAATGAAACCAGACAGACAACCCTGTTGCCTTTCAGTGTCAGGTTAGATTGCCTTCTTGCGAGTGCAGCTATTTCAGGTACAGAGTGCTTGGTGGTTTGGGTCTTGTTGTGTGCAGAGAGTGTTCCCCGGAAAACATCTGTTTCTTTCACCTGCAAACCGCAATGTGCTGTGAAAAGGCAGGACTGTAGCCACAGAGGCCCAGGGGGCTGAAGGAAATCTGGCTCAAAGGGATGAGCATGGTTTGCTGAAACACAGTATCAAAAAGAGCACTTAAAAGGCGAGGATGCTTTTAGAGCACACGATACAGCTCAGGCTGGGTAGGTCAGGCTCGCGGCGAGCTCGGGAGCCAGCCTGGTTGCTCCTTTTCTTAATAGCCACGGCGGGCTCCAAACTGAGGTGGTTATTTTCCTTTCCCAGTGGGTGCAAAAAATGTTCTGGTTTTGCGTGCGGTGATGGGGAAGCGCCTGCCCCACAGTGCATGTGCAGCGGTGCCGCAGAGGGCAGCACCTCCACATCCCGGCCTCACAGCACACGCTGCAGAGAGCTCAAGCTGGTCTCTGGGCATATGGGACATGGGAGAGGTTTCCACATGGGGATCTCAGGCATTTAACCAAAAAAAGGGTCTTCTAATGGCTGCCTTCTTATTTTTTCAGAGGACGACATGAATAATTACATCAGTCGCTACTACAATGAGCCCAGCAGTGGTAAGTGTCCCTTAAAAATGTGGGGACAGGCTGAGTTTTGGGTAGGGCTGCGTGGCACTATGTGCTGTAAACCAGGTGGGACTGACCAAGACRCCAGTGCTGGCCTGAAGGGGACAGGCACCGTGGTAGCTTGGTTTTCTCCCTGGACATGTGGATCAAGGCAGACATTCTCCCACTTCRGGGTGAAATGGTAGAAACACAGTTCAAAATATCATTGTGGTATATGGGGGGTATTCCACGGGGTAATATGGTATATAATGGAGATACAGACAAGTTAGAGATGCCCATGCACAACAGCACGAGCAAAAAAGGGACAGTGGTTTTAGAAACAGAAATATTTCATGAGGGAAGAGGCTGTGACAAGTGACCCCCCCACACACACTGAATGCCCCTTTGGACACAGCTGTGGCTCTGGCTCCATTTTCACATGCCCCTCTCTGCCATATGGTCCTGCAGACAGCGCCGGTCCTGAAGCAGCCCTCTGTGTGGTCACCACAGCCGCAATCGACATCCACCGCCCCAACATCTCCTCCGACCTCTTCACGGTGGAGGTGCCCGTGAGGCTGGGCAGCACCGGCACCTCGGCCAGCATCACGTCGGGCAGCGCCTCCAGGTCGACGGGCAGCTCGGGCCCGCGGGCCCTCAGCGAGAGCAGCCAGACACTGGGCTCCTCCCCGGACTGCAGCACGGCCTGCGAGGAGGCACCGCCGGGCGAGCCCGGCCCCCAGGGCGACCTAGTGCCCACACRGCAGCGCGTGGCCCGCGCCGTGGTGCAGGAGCTGCTCTCGTCCCTCTCGGAGGACGCTTGCCTGGCGCAGAAAGGGCTGGATCCCGTCAACCTGAAGCTGCCCAGCCCGGCGGGCTCGGCCGGGACCAGCCCAAACCTGGGCCACCGGCTCAGCRTGCTCAACCGGAGGAACCAGGAGARCTTGGACGTCTTCCAGCTCAAGCCTCTCATCGAGTGCCCGCAGGGCAGCCCGGTCATAGACGAGAAGTTCGGGGCGCTGGGGCCGCYGGAGCCGCGGTTGGGCAGGGTGCCCGAGGCGTAGGCTGCCMCACTGCTCRGGCAGGGGGATGGACACAAGAGGTGCTCAATCCCTGCCGCTGCCACCGGCTCAGGGCCAGGCTGGACCCAGGCACCTGGGGGCAGGGGACCCAGCGACAGCCCCAGGGCCAGGCTGCACCTGTRGCACTGTGCGCCCAGGAGCAGCACCCAGTGTCACCGCGGCTGCCCCACAGGGCCAGAGCAGCTGCCGGGCCGGGGGCACCACGGACCTGCCTGGGGCYGGGGCCAGGGCCAGCCTGGGGGCGCCCTCGGGACTGGGCAGGCGCCACGGGGGCAGCGCGTGGGGGAATAAAGGATGGCAGAGACGTGTGTGCGCCATGTCCGTGTGTGCGCCGTGTCCGTGTCTCACTGCCCTCCAGCTCCTCCTCCTTATGCTCTCTTCCTCCAGCTCCTACTTTTTCCATTCCCTTCATCCTTTCCCCTTCCTCTTCCCTCATTCCTTTTTCTGCTCCCTTTTCAAGCCTTTCTCCTTTTCCTTCTCCATTCCCCACTTAATTTCCTTTCTCCTTTCCTCCTTCCCATCTTCTTCCTTTACCTCCTTCCCTTCAGTTTTCCTTTCCTGTGTGCCTTTTTTCCCCTCTTTCCTCCATACCTTCTCCTGTCCCGTCCTGATGCCTTCCATTTATTCTTCATCTCTTCCCCTTGTCTTCCCCAACCTTTGCTTCCATCTTCCTTCCCTTTTCCCATTTCTTCTTCCCTGTSTGCTTGCTTCTTCCCTCAATCCCTTCTTTCCCAGTTCCCTTTCTTTTCCCTCCTTTTCCCTCATGCCTTCCATTTATCTCATCTATCCTCTTCCTCCTCTCTTCTTCCTTCCCTTTTTCCTTCCTCCATTTTTTCCTCTTCCATATCCTTTTTCTCCCTTCCCTTCTCCCTTTCTTGCTCCTTCTTCCTTCTCTCATCTTCCATCTTTCCTTGCTATCTGCCTTCCTTTCTCCCTTTCTTTTCCTCTTCCTTTTCTTCTCCATTCCCCATTTTCTTAATTTCTTCCTCCCTTCCTTGCCTCTCCTCCTCCCTTCTCCTTCACCACCTTCCCTTGTTTTCCTTTGCTCACTTTTATTCCTCCTTTTCTCCATRGCTTCTATTTATCCTTCTTCCCATCTTCCTGTCCTTTATCCTCTTGCTTCCATCTTGCTTCCTCCCAATTCCTCTCCCTAGTGTCCCCCTGCCTCATCTCAATCCGTTATTTCCCCACTTCCTCCTCCTTTCCTCTTCCAGCCTCTTTTTTTTGTTTCTGTACTTCTCTTACCTGCTTTGTGCCTTTCTTTCCCTTTCTTCTTCTTCCTTCCCCATCTTTCTTCCATTCTGCTCCCACCCTTCCACATTTTCTTATTGCTTCTTCTCAGTCTGTCTTCCTTTCTTCCTCTTCCCTCTTCCCTTTTCTCCCCTCCCCCATCTTCCTATCCATCTTCCTCTCTTCCCTTTTCTTCTCCATTCTCCACTTTTTTCTTCCTTCTCCTCCTCCCTTCCTCCCATCTTTACCTCCTTCCCCTCCTTCCCTAGTTTTCCTCTTCTCTCTGTCCATTTTTCCTTCTTCCTCCATATCTTCTCCTTCTCTTCCCTCTTCTATGCCATTTATCCTTCCCTCCCTCCTCCTTGTCCTTTGTAATCTTTGCTTCCTTCCCCCTTCCTTTCCCTTCTTCTTCCCAATTCTTGCCCATGTCYTTGTGCTTCCYCCCTCAACCTCTTTGTCRCCCTTCCCTCCTTCTATCCCTTTCCTGTTCTCTTCCTTCCTTTTCTATTTTGTCTACCCTTTTCCCTTTTTCTTCCTTTCTTCCTTTTCCCCTTTCCCTTGTCCTCCTCCTTTCTTCACGCTAGTCGTTCCTTGCCATCTACCTTTTCTTTCTTACTTCTCCATTCCCCACTCCCTTAATTTCCTTTCTTCCTCCCTTCCACTCCTACTCCCTTCCCATCTTCCTTTACCACCTTCATTTTTCCTTTCCTGTGCTCACCTTTTCCTCCTTCCTCCAGGTCTTCTCCTTCACTTTCTTACTTCATGCACTCCATTTAGCCTTCCTCCTTTCCCCCTGTTGTCCCTTTCTAATCTTTGCTTACTTCCATCCTTCTTCCCTTTTTCCCCCCAATTCTTCTTTCTGCATGCTTGCTTCTTCCCTCCATCCCTTCCCTTGCTCCCTTCCTTCTTCCCCTGCTTCATATCCTCTCTCCTGCCCCTTGCCATTTCTTCTCCTYACCCTTCCTTTTTTTCCTTCTGCCCCATCCTTCTCCATTTTCTTTCCCCTTCCCTACTTTTCCCTTTCCTTTTTTCTCCCTTTCCCCCATTCTCCCACTTTCCACCCTCTAGTCCTTCTTGCCATCTTCCTACCACTTTTCTCCTTTTCCCATTCCCGTTTACTTTCCTTTCCCCTCCTTCCCATCCCTTGTTCTCCTCTCTGTCCCTTCATGCCTTCCCATCCTTCTTTCCTTCCCCCAGCCCTTGCGTCATCTTCCTTCCCTTTGCTTCCTTCCTTCCCAATTCTTCCTTCTTCCTGTCAGCTTGCCTCCCCCCTCAATCCCTTATTTCTCCCATTCCCTTTCTTCCTTTCCCTCCTTCCTCCATTCCTTGCTTCATGCATTCCCTTTCTCTTCCCTTTCCTGCTCTCTTCCTCCTCTCGTCCTCCTTCCCCTCCTTCCCCTTTCCCCTCTYGTCCTCCTTCCCCTCCTTCCCTCGTCCTTCCTTTCTGCTCCCCACTTTTTCCCCCCAATCCTTTTCCCTCCTTTCCTGTTCCTTACCCTGCCCTTTGTTTTCTCCCTTCCTCCTTCCTCTCTCCTGCCTTCCTCCCTCTAGTCCTTGCTATCATCCTCCTTTTCTCCTTCATTCCTTTTATCCATTCCCTTTTTCTTCCTCCCTTTCTTGCCATCTTCTTCCTTTACCTCCTTACCTGTTTTCCTTTCCTGTCTGCCCCTTTGCTTCCTCCTTTTCTCCTTCATGCCTTCTCTTCCCTCCTCTGCCTTCCATTTATCCTTCCTCCCTTCCCTTTTTCTTCTTTTTTTCTCCCTCCTCCTTTCTTCACTCTTCCCAGTTCTTCCCTCAGTGCCCGTCCCTTCCTCCTGCTTCTCTCTCCCTCCCCTTCCCTTCCACTCATTCTCGCCCTCCTACCACTCTCCTCACGCACTCGAGCAGTGCGGCCAAGGGGCGGGCGCCGCGCAGGCCCCGCGCGCCAGCTCCGTACGAGTCTTTATTGCCCGGTGCCCGCGCGGCGCCTCCGCGCAGCCCGCGCTGCCTCACTTCTTCTTCAGGAGCTCCGTCATCTCCGGCACCACCTGCGGACACCAGCACAGGGTCAGCGCGAGCCCCGCTCCCCGCGTGCCCCTGCCCTGCTGCGCGGCCCGGCGCGGGGCCGGGGGTCACCCCAGCCCGCAGCGCTCTCCCCCCCGGCCCTTCTCCCCGCTGCTGGATGCGGCCGCTTAATTATTTAGAAGTGCTGCATTTCCATTAGGTGGAAATAATGCATTCGTACAAAATTTATTACAGAAATTGCCTACGTGGTGCTTCTCCAGCGCGCGCCTCGCGCTCTGCCTTAGGAAGAGGCGTGCGCTGCCTGCCAAGGCTGTGGGCAGTAGTTCAGGAAGGGCATTAAGTGCTGGCAGTGCCGCTGCCGCCCCGCTCTGCGGCCGCACGAGGCACAGCCCCTATGGCCCTTCAACATGCAGCCGGGGGCAAAATGAGCCAAATCCAGGAAATGGGAATAAAGGCCCAGTGAGCGCTGCGCAAACACCCCCACGCAGGGCCTGAACCTGGGGACTGCTGCTGAAATCACTATGACCTCAGAGTCTTAAAAGCAAAACAATCACCAGAAACTAAGAAAACAGGCAGCCAGACACCCTCATACAAGCATGTGCCTTTAATACTGTCACCTCTGACCACCCCACCGCTTGTTCCCCACACATTTCACATTCAGCCTTACCTTAAACAAGTCTGCCACGAGRCCAAAGTCTGCCACTTGGAAAATGGGCGCTTCCGGGTCCTTGTTAATAGCAACGATGGTCTGCAAGTGACAGGAGAGCYGGGCGCTGAGCGTGCACGTGGTGACCAAACACCTCTCCATAGAGCTCCCCCCGCAACCTCCCCCCACCAACAACAAAACCCTCAACACAGAGCCCAGCTGGGCCAGCTGGTCATGACAACAACAAAAAATACTATTTTCTATAAAGGCCTTTCCCTTGCTCATAGCACAGACCTCCATGCAGAACAGTTAAAGAGGTGGTTGGGTTTTGTGGGGTTTTTTTGTTTTGTTTTGGGGGGGGGTGTATGGGGTGGGGGGGGGGTTGAGAGCACAACGACCTACGGAGAGATCACGGCCAAAAAAGTGCACGTGTCCCAACTCCCCACACCACGCTCGGAAAGCTGCCTGCCTTGATTGCAGATGTTCCATGCAGGTCAGTCAGAGCATCTGGTAACTGCCTGCAAGAGCTCCCAGCAGAACCGCTGTGAGCGGCCACGGCAGGCAGGGCGAGCGCCAGAAAGGAGCAAAGGCGGCGGCCGGGCCCGGCCCTGCCCCACGCCAGGCTGCGTGCGGCACCGCTCACTGCCCTGCCGCCCCAGGCAGCCGCAGCTACACCTGCCCCTAAACGCTGGTGCCCTGGCGGCACGTGGCCCGTGGCAGTAACTCAAGGGCGGTGATGAAGTCGGTGTTTTCAAGACCACASGAACGTTCTGCCTTCACAGGTCACTTTTGTAGCCTGTGACTCTCTCTAAAGCCTGTGGTGTTTATGGCTGGACCTACAGCAGCGTCCTAGCCTCGCTGCTCCGGCAGCGCTCCCCAAACTCCTTTTTGCTCTTACTTCAGTTTACCTGTTTGGGAGCACAAGCTCCCTACGTGTGGGAAACCAAACCTAGTTGAGAGGCTGTAGATAGGGACTGGAAACAGCTGCTTCTTTGTGGGCTCTGTGCGCTCACCTAGAGCACTCCGAGTCTTCCTCTGACTCTCTCCTTTACCCAAAGTAACTTTTCAGTAAGACCCAGTTCCCCTGCCCCAGCATTTAACC